CAGTAGAAGAAAAACATTATGTTACCTATTTTAATCATAAATTGGGATGTAATATTTTTTCAGTCTGTAACGACTCCTACCTTGAATATTGCGAACACGCTCAACGACAATCTCCTTCATACCTCGTTTTCTCAGTAGATTTCTAATTAGTGATACCTTTAAATCAAAAAACACAGTTTTATTTGACTATTTGTAAACAAACAAGCATGAAAAGTAAATTATACATTTGACGGTGACAGAATGGAACGACATTGAACTCCTGAGGATCCGTCACCGTCTCTCCTCCTCAGAGACGATTAATACAACATCATAAATGAAATGTAAAGAAAGTAACTAACGCTTTATTGTTTTCTTGTAATTATTTACATATATAATTTACAAATAAAAAAAATTGTAGCATATTATTATGATTTGTGTGTTATATTATTTGAATCTGACAATGAATTTCAATATGTTTTGGAAATGATGATTATGATTAAGATTACGACTAGCTTGACTTTATTTAGGTTTCTTTAAATTTAGATAAACAAGGTCACAAAAAACCATGACTACGCTACTTCTACTTTTACTATTTTTACTACTAATTAATTATTAATTACTATTAATAAAAGGCATATTATTATTATTATTATTAACGTAAATATTATTTTTATTATCATTGTCGTCATCCTCATCCACACACTGCACGTAGACTAAACAATCATTATAATGATAATAATAATATGTATAATAATATGGTAATATTAACAACAACAGCAATAATATGTATATATAGGTTATCTAGTAATGACCACGATAATGAAGATAATAATATCATTTCAGTCGTTGGCTGTGAGAGGAGATGAATTTCTTGTTTGGTAATGATGGTTATTTATTATTTATTCATTTATTTATTATTTTATTTATAAACAAACCAATAGCAAAAAAACCATCGCTACTTACAGGATTATAGAAAAAGATGAAACATTACAAACGGGTTACAAGATAAAAGGAAAATAAAAACTCATTGCTCTATACTTTTCCAGAAGAGAACACAATATATGATTAGATTACGACTAGTTTTAGTTTGATTTTCTTTATTCAGTAAACAAGGTCATAAAAAAACTATGACTACGTTACGTCTACTCTACTACCACTAATAATAATCTTACTAGTCCTATTAATACAAGTCCTATTATTATTATTATTATTATTATTATTATTATTATTATTATTATTATTATTAATATTAATATTAATATTATTATTATTATTATTATCATTATTATTAATGCAAATATTATAATATTATTATTATTGTTATTTTTATTATTATTATTATTATTATTACCATCATCATCACATTGTACGGTACGTAAACCAAAACAATCATAATGATATTTATAATGATATGGTGGTAATATTAACAATAAGAATAATTTTAGATTATATCTAGTATTGAAAAGGATAATGAAGATAATTATATAATTTCGTCGTTGGCTGTGAAAATAGATAAATTACTTCTGATTTTTTGTTTTAAATGTTATTTGGTATGTTTATGTGGATTGTAGCATAGTTTTATAATTTTAGGAAATTTGCGATTTTCTTCCACTCAGCTGTCATTAGGCTGCCTCGAGTCAGGACAAGCTTCCAAGACCATTACGATAGTTGATGCTGCAGCTTTAGAGAGCCCATCTTCCGTTCTTCAAATTTTTCATTTGAATTCTTTGTAACTGTGATTTTTTTTTTCATTATCTATTTTTAATATTTTGTTATCTGTGGTTGGAGTTGGTCCCACCAGCACTGCTACAGCTATTAATTTTACTTGGGTTGGCTCTGGTCTCCCCATTTTAATCTTTCTTTATCTGACCAAACATGCAATGGAATGAAATGAAATGATAACGAAATAATCATAATAATATTTATAATGCCTAATAATAATTATTAATTGTTATAGTACGTTATGGGCGTGGTGTATAAGTAACAACATGATGTATGAAGTAATAATAATAAATATTATTATCATTAATAATGTATAGTAAATATATTATGTACCTGGGCCTGGTATGAAGTAACAACTGCAATGTCTTTTTCACCAAAATTTTCTGGCCATTGATCGTGCAAATTTTTTACACGTTCAACAAGTTCGGTGCTTTCTTCCTTGTTGACATATGAGGCGCCTTGTTTGGTATCTAAACCTTTTACCTCTACTAACGACATTGCTGGAAAGTCAGGATTAAATTTTTCATAGATAGCACATTCAATTCCTTTCTCGTATATAGATGTAGATAGAAACTCTAGAATCGGCCGACATGTTCGGTAGTTGCGTCGAAGTAGAATACTATTGGCCATCTTCATTTTCTTCAGACGTTCCAGTAGAGATATGTGAAAATTTGCATCTTTGCTTGATTTGGAGTAAATCTAAAACAAATTTAGATTAATATATTTCCAAAGCATAGTTAAGTTTTTTTTTCTTTTTTGAAATCCGGATTTATATGGCGCCTATCACAAACCGAAGAATATACAAGGCCCTGTCCTCTGTATTTCCCTGGTCACTGGATACTAAGCTGGCGCGCAAACCAGCACATTTTTGGTGAGTATCCCAAGTCATGCTTTTTTACACGCACAAGCTCATACGTTCAATGCCACACGATCCTACCGGGTACCCATTAATACTTCTGGGTAAAGAGAGGCAACGTTAAGTAAAGTGCCTTGGACACAAGCAATGCGACGGGCTTCGGTCTCGAACTCCCGTTCAGAAGTCCAACACCTTGCATGCTGTGTCACACGCTTCTATCTCTCTAAGTTTATAAATCTACTATATACATTATCTATCAAATGTGTTTTAATAAAATTGTTATTACTTATTGAAAATGTATCAAAAACAGTAACAAACTCAATTTTATCAGTTAACTTTGAGATGATAATAAAAAAAACAATGTTAATTACCTTAGGACTCATCTGTAAATGGTCGCCTGCTAACACTACGCACGTTTTTTCGTTAGCTAACGCTAGCGGCATTATCGTCTGTGGTTCAAGAGCCTGTCCAGCTTCATCAATAAGAATATGCGTAAACGAGCCTTTAACGTTCAGCGGTATCATATAAATGGCAGTTGTCAAGGTGCATATAACAACTTTAGCCTTTTCGATATCATCTCGATTAGGTACACGAAGCTTACTTTCGATTTCAAACAAACAATGCATCCTAACACGTTTTGGTATTGTGGAAATGCGTCGGTTTGGCTGATAAACTCGTAGAATCTTGCAAGCATTGTTTTCCTTAATAAATCTGTCAGATTCCTCTCGTATACCATCAGTAATATAAAGATCAGCTGCACTGTGGAAGATTTAAATTTAACTGATAAATGTTTTTGCTTTAGTTATAGTTTTCAAGAATTTAAATAAGCATTATAAGCTTTAGTTATTTGATACATATAATTACCTTACCTGTTAGACATTGTACATATCAATACACGAGAATCGTCCGATTGTTCAAGTATCCTTTTAACTGATTTTGCCAAAACCCTAGTCTTCCCGGTACCAAACGGTCCACATATTACCAAAGGTGCTTGATCGTGTTGTATTTCCTTTGAACAGATAAATCTAGCAGCAGTCTCTTGGTACTTGTCTAATTCAGTTGAATTGTTCTGGAAAATCCTTAGCTGTTCTGACTTCTTGGGCCAAACACAATGCATACTCTTTAGATTCTGAATTGCGAAATGCATTTCCACAAATGGTATCCGATCAATTAGGAACTTTACTTCAGCTTCGTGTTCGCTACCATCTTTTAGGTTGTTCTCGGACACACATCTGTCGTTGAATAATACATAAACGTACTCTTCTGTACGACTATCATCAGTGCCGTCTTTGCAAATTTTAGCTTCAAAAGCCATGGTCGGATTGGAGTAAAATCTGCAGGCCACAGAATTAACGGAATCGAGGATTAAGGTTCCAGCCAAGGAATCAAAATCTATGGCCTTTTTGAGATTTATCTTGCCAAACAGTTCATCTCCTTGAGCTACTATCAAATTTGAGGCCCATGTAGAGTCTGTTAGCATTTTTTTAGAAATTGCAATCTTAGTTTTAAGATTGAACCTGAAGAAAGAATAGACAATAAAATTAAATAAGCATTTATAGCAATGCATTTCTTTTAATATATCCACTATCAAAGTGAATTTTACTTTTTTCCTTGAAATTGGAAAAAGAGAAACTAGCGTACATATATTTAAATATATCTTACTTTTCAATTATCGTCTGCTGTTCTCGTTCTTCAATGTCTATGAATCTGTGCATCATCATTGTGTAGTTATTTTCTGAAAGCTTCTCTTTTAGAAGTTTATCATCTGTTGTTTTTGGCTTGAATGATTTTGCATTGTTTAGTAGCCTTTTCTGAAACTCAGGTTTGTCTTCAAATGGTATAACATCTTCCCATGGTAAACTTTTAAGCTGAAGACTATCATAATCAATGGGTGTATCAACGTCCTTTTGTAGTCCAGCGTGAACAGAAATTGTTCTCTTCATGTACAACTTCTGTCCTAGATCGAATATTACCCATTGATCAAAATGCCCAGCACTGAATGATACAAACTTAACAGATACTCTGCACGTCACATAATCGTCGTCAATTAGTTTGTTTCCGGGGCAGATTTGAGGCTTGTTTTCTTCCGATGGCTGGGTGAAGTAGAAATTATCTCTGTGCTCATCGTGAAGTAGGCAAACACATCTCAACTTTTTCTGTAATCACAACGAAAAAAACACTGTTTCCTTGCTTTTGTGACACTGACTAATTAGTTTTACTAAATAATATATTTTTACTAATACAAACTTTGCAAAAAGGAGTTTTGCTGTGTCTTGACCGACTAATATACACTTTGTCTATATGGTGTATCGACACCGTGCTGGCCGTTTATCATAATTTAATCCCTAAAATTTTGAAAGCCGTGTGGGGCTGTGGCAGAGGTTTTGAAGTGTTGTTAATTCGAGGCCGACGCTTGTCACACTGCTTGTGTGCTTGGGCAAGACACTTTATCTACGTTTTCCTCTCCTCAACTAGGATTACAAATAGGAGGTAGTGGGGGTGAATGATTTGGAATACAATTGTTAGTGCTGAATTACGCAGGTAAGGAATACTTCCCAAAGAGCCAAAAGCGCATTGAGCCGTCTTTCTGAACTTGAGCACTATATAAATCCTATCAAACATAATAAAGATATTGTAATGTTATGCTTACTTCTCCTGTACACTTTATTATAAACTCAAAAGTGCAAGTGAATTTGTTGTTGATCCTTTCAGTTGCAAAAATTTTTCTGTCAACTTCGCCGTTTTCTTTGCATTCTACACCATCAATGTTATCTTTCAACTGCAAAAAGAATATATTTTACAGTTAGCTTTTATCTAACAATATGACATTCAATTTAATCGGACTAAAACTGATCATATTTTTTTGTTGATGAATAGGCAGCCTAAATAATTAATTGAAAAGTAGTATGCAAGATTATTAAATACATAGTACTTTTTCTCAGTGTCAATAAGTTAACAAACTTCACAAGTGAAAGAGCGGATGTGATTGTGATATTAGGGAGCTTTTGATTTGTGGGACGGAATCACTCATGCGTGACCGTCCTACCTGGCGTCCTACGTTCTCTGCATACATAGATTTAGCCAAATTGCGTTTCAGAATCTGCTCGACGATGTGACCGTAACATTCTTGCATGCGCAGATGATTTTCAGTGACGTCATTACGTTCTACCTCCTACCGTCGTCGTGTAATCAAAAGCTCTTAATACGGAAAACTACGGTAAGCAACAACAATCGCACTTACTAGAGAATTATCGAAGTTGTAGTCATACGCAATTCTATCCATTACAGAAGACAATTCTTGAAGAGATTGTCGTATTTTTTTCATCCGATATTTATAGCGCTCTTTCCATTCATTAAACTCGTCTTCATTGTGTGCACGTGTGCAGTACTTTCCTCGTTCACACGGTGACGACCTTCAATAAAATGAAATTAATGTATTTAATGAAGTACAGTACCCAGGGGCAGGTCCAGCTTTTGTGAAGGCGGGGGGTAATAATTTTGATGGGGTGGTTCCGTTACGGTTCATTAATAAGGGCTTTCAGTTCCAGTAATCTGCCTATTTCATTCTATTTCAGTGAACAAAACCGTTACATTACATGAACAAAATTCCTCACCGTTCACACATCTTGTAATCTCCATTTATTGCATTCAACGGTGGTTTGCGTTGACGCCATTCTCTATCATTGTCTGAATTCACCTTAACTTTGTGTTGAACACCAATAACATGCAGCTCTACCTCGATGTCAGTATTCAATGTTTCCTTACAGTACGAACACCACAAGGCTGTTGAAATTAAAATGAACAGTTGTCAATGACACGCGTAATACGCTACAGTTCTTAATTTATTCACTTACTTTTTAGCTTTGTTTATTACCTCCGCCAAGAGGTTATGTACCACTGTCCGTCTGTCTGTCTGTCGGTGTGTCTGCCTGTCTATCTAACTGTCTGTTAGCAAGATTACGCAAAAACTAATAAATAGATCATCATAAAATTCAGTGGAATGGTACATAATAATCAATGAAATACACCATTCAATTTTTGGAAGAATAGGTTAAAGAACAAGATCAAGGTCACGAAAATTCAATTATTTAATCTCGAGCATAAAAGAAAATAATGGAATCGCTCATCGTATTCAGCCATCAATCAAGAAAATAATGTACAGTACCTGAATACGACGAGCGACTCCATTACTTTCTTGAGGGTATGCTGCATCATACACGGCCTGTGGTATTTAGGTACAGGACGGAGGTGCACTTTATGGAATGACTGCTCTAGTTTTATAAGTTATGCTCAGAATATACCAAACAATATTCAAGATGCTGGGTATAAAGCTTTACTATTTATGTGCCTAAAATAGTATTTCTAAGTATTTATTCATATTTGCGTTTATATATATTTAACCTGTTTATAACCGGCCCATTCATATACGGAGATGTATGTTTACAAATTAATGTATCAAGTAATGACTGAATTGTAATATGGCTATATAGCGCTAATACTTACTTTTACTTGATGTTTTTGATGGCGGTGTTTTAGAAGTCATAAGGTTTGATTGACCTCCCTTTAGTGTCTCCTATGCAAGATAATGTTAACATAATGTCATAATAGAGATATATATTTGCAAGATGTCTAAGCATTAACTAAAAATAGAAAAGATGACCTACGCATTGCAAAACATTTATTAGATATTATTCAGGCTGCTTGTCGATCACGCACTCTTCTTAGGCCTATTTACTAATTTATAAATACTGTATTGTCCAGCTAATTTCTAACTAGTTTCTTTAGAACCGCATGTAATGTAGTTAGAGTTATATACGTAGAAAAAACAGAGGACATGGACATGCCAGAGGAAATACCAGTGTGCTTAAAACTATATAGCATGCTATGCTAAGCTACTATAAAAATGAAACATCGTAGCTAAGTGATAGTGAGCACGGCCAATAAAAACTAAATTCAAAATTAACTTTCGTAAAATTTAAATGTTGACACGTATCGATACACACCATGCCCATAACAGCGTTAACTGGTTGTCTTAAGCGTTTATCAAGAATTAAGAATATTACTGTCATCGATCATCATTACACTGGTCATAAATCATATCTCCTAGGCCTACTTATTTATTCTCAGGCCCGTAACTAGGGAGTTGGTGGATCGTAACCGAGAGTTCTCTATAAATGGAATTTATGTAGAGGTTTTTTTTTTTTTTTGTTTTTTTTTTTGGCATTCTCTTTGTTTTTTTATGAGACAGACCTTAAAAGCTAAAAAGCATTAGCTAGCTTGAACTCCCTAAAGATGTCGGAAAACGCATTTTCGGACACCTACAAACAATTTATTTTAGAGACTACTCTTAGTGGGACTACCACTTTCACCGTTTATATTTATCCCCTCGATACCGTACTAAAACTGGTTACGGGCCTGATTATGTTTAGTGTTTAAGTTCATTTATGTTTTATACCGTCTCTATTGCCTTCTTTCGTCGTGCCCCAATCTCACTTTTTGCCGCTTTACTTTTAGCCATGCTCTGTGTTTTCTTACGGCTTCCGACAGACCTACGTTGTTGCCCATCTACGTTGTGCGTAGACTTAATTGACGAACTCCTTGCTTCAGATTGCGGTTTGGCTGAGAAAAGTTAAATTAAACACGATACACATATTTGTGGATTAATTTTATTACTTTTCTAATAATGTAGGTTTAAACTACGCCTACTAATTATAATACCAAGAGGCCTACTAGTAAAACTAAAAGTAATAATAAGTATACAGGTAATGATAAAAGTAAAAACAATACTGTAATAACAATAATAATAGTAATAATAATAATAATAATAATAATAATAATAAAAATAATAATAATGATATTAATATATATCATTATTAAACTTTAGCCACCGAATGGAAAGAAAAGATATTACAATACACAATAAGCCATCAAATACACTAAAGGATAATATTAAGAATAATTAGGAAACAAAAGATTTAGTAGGCAATAACATGAACTCCATGATGCACTTAACATCTTACTTTTATCTGCAACATCGTTCAAAATGTGTGCTTTATTACGGATTTCAACAGCCTTGCGTCGTGACGTCCCAACTTCATCGTGTGTAGACTTAAACGCACGTCTTACTCCAGATTGTGGTTTGGCTGAAGAAAAATAAATGAAAAACGATACATTATTTCGTTACTAAGTATAAAAAATCAACGAATATTTAATCAAGGATAGGTCTATATGATCGAGAGAATGCCATACGTGTTGGCATAAAAACCAAACGCCAACTTAGTACTTACTGGCTAGAGGCGACGAAGGTACGGCCACTCTACGAGTCTTGCCTGCTCTTCTACTTCTACTTTTCTTCTAAATTAATGTCAACAGTTTTGTTTGTCATATAACATATGGATAGTAGACGAGTATTCATTTTTATACTTTCAAAATTCTGATTACCTGTTAATTGATATGATTACCTGTTAATTGATATAGCACTCTTAACATTTTTTTTTAATCACTTACACATTGTAAAAGGGGGAAAATGATATAATTGTATGAATAAATGTTCCCAACACAAAATAGAAAAAAAAAAAGTTCCCAAAAAAAAAAAGAAAAAAAAAAAATGAATTTACAAAAAAAAAAAAAATAGGGGCCTATAAATAGCTTATAAAATAAATTGTTAGGAAATGAAAGGAGTGAAATTTGATTGTAAAAATCGTGCTGTTATGAAATGATAATCTTAAAGAAACGTAAAAGAGGTCTAATATATATATATATATATATATATGTATTTCATTATTGAATAAATGTGGCTTTGCCAGAAAAGAGAAAAAAGGTAGCAGAAATTTGATTAGTCACTTTTTATAGTAACCTTGTTTTCATTCCAAACATTGGGGAAATAACTGTGCACCATAAGAAATATTAAATATTTATTTCCGGTTGATATTTTTCCCGTATCCATCATTATTTTTAATACAAAGTAACATTCTAGTTGTATTTCCAACTGTATTTCACGTTATGTTCTTATTTTGAGGGAATTAAAATATAACAGTAAAGAGTTACAATGACACTTGTATACCTTGGCAGTTTTCGTTGGGTTTGCTCTAGCACATTTCAGCTGACCGGTTGGGATCCAATTATAATCTAAATCTTCTCCCTTTGCGACTTCAAATTCACTGGCGTCTACATGGTTTTTCAAATCTTCAATAATTTCCTGAACCATCTTATCTGCTCCATAAAACTATTCAAAATCAATTTGCAATATGAATATGTATGTACACAAACCATGTACTCTCTAATATTTGATTGTTTTATTATTGTGTTTTATTTCGAAAATATTTTTACAGGATAAAAAATATATTTGGCGGATATAAAGCAATAAAATGTGTTACATATTGATTTGTCATAGGCCTATAATATTTCAAACTAATAAAATACTTATCTATAAAAAATATATATATAATACTAATACCGGTAATATGTACGTTTTTATTACGTGCTCCACACAATAATATAAAGGCGTACATATTATTAGTAGGCCTATTATATATATATTTTATAAGTAACTATTTTATCAGTTTGAGTAGGCCTATTACATAACTAAACAATATGTGAAACATCTTATGACAGTATCCCAGTCATTGGAACGATGCCTATGGGAGAAATCCAGCATTGCAACATTAAGTATATTAGCGCACTTTTCACTCGAACCTCCTCAGGTAGCGCCCCCGGCCCCCCCCCCATACAATATAAAATATACGTGGTGAAAGTTTTGCACACATTACGGATACGTTTTTAAAGGAATGCAAAGAAAGAATTCACCTTCACTCATGTATAAAATAATAACTAAATAGTAAAGCTAATAATATGTTTTCTTGTCATAATCCCTAATTACGTCATAAATATTAGTCAGAACTCTAAAAAATATGATTGCCTGTGATTGGCTCAAAGCACTGTGTAGCCTAATAAATACTGTAAAGGTAATGTAGGAACACACTCACTAACGTGTGGGTCATAACTGAGCTATGATTAGTACCTCACGTAAAAATATATATACCCTTAAATCCAAATGTTTTAATTCTTGAACGCATTCGTCATATCTTCCAAGCCTCAGAAGGGAATATGCAAGATAGACTCGAAAGTCGCTTGGCTGTTTTTCCTCTAAATGAACAATTTCTAATGGAGCAAAATTAATATACTGTGGTTTAAATATTATATTATTATTATTATTATTATTATTATTATTATTATTATTATTATTATTATTTCATATTACTGTAGTTAAAATTCAGATTGATTGATTAATGCTTGTTAAAATTAAATTAATTTATTAAATAAATGAATAATTGTATTCGATATTAGTAATTGTATTAGTATTGTCATAATAGTTATGAAAATTGACACCTACGTTTTTCACAAGTTTGTAAGCATTCGTCGTATTTGTTCTGAAATGCAATAATTGAATCAAGTTAATTTTTGTTTATACAATGGATACACACTTCCCCTTCTAAACAATAGTTAACAATAGCTGATTAGTAGATCAATATAACACGGGAATTTCCAAAATTAACATTCCTCATGGTAACAAAGACAACGCACATTATAAAAACAATGAATTGTGTTATAATGACAGATTGCCAATAATAATCGCTAGGATTTGTTCAACAGAAAGGCTAAGGTCGTAACAGATTGCTGTGTGAGCGAAGGCTTCTCTTGCTACGTGTAGATCATCAAGGGTCCTGGTAGGGTCTAAAGGGCGAAAACTCCAATGGATTAAACCACATTAAAACTAGAAACTTCTCAGAGAGTTTGATTAATTATATTATTAAACAATAGTTATCAACAGATTGGTAGATCAATTATTATTTGTTTGTTGTCAATTATCTGCTGTCCAGTCTGCAAATCCGGGGAAACTTGTGGAAGCTATGTTAACGAAGGCTTCTGACTAGGTGTAGAATATCAAGGGTCCTGGTAGGTTCTTAGTAGCAAAATGTCCAGTGGAATATAAACCACATTAAAACTAGAAATATCTCAGACAGTTTGATTGATTGATTATATTATCAAACAAATATATCTATAGTTATCAAAAGATACAGTAATTGGTAGATCAACACGGGAATTTCCAAAATTCACATTCCTTGTAATAAAGACAATGCATATTATGAAAACAATAAATTGTGTTATAATCACATTTCCAATAATAAGCGGCTTCTCTTGCTACGTGTACCATAAAGGATTCTGGTAGGGTCTAAAATTCCAGTGGATTAAACCACATTAAAACTAGAAACTTCTCAGAGAGTTTGATTAATTTTATTATCACACAATAGTTATCAACAGATAATTGGTAGATTAATAAAACGGGAATTTCCAAAATTCACATTCCTGATAACAATGACAATGCACATTATGAAAAAATGAATTGTGTATTATATGACGCATTGCCAATAAGTAGCATTATGACCTGTTCAAATGAAAGGCTAAGGTCGCGACAGATTGCTGGCTGTAGACCGTCAAGGGTCATGGGTCAAAGGGGTGAGAATTCCAACATTGAAACTACAAACATTTCATTATGTTTTATTGATTATTTGATAACAATCATGCTAACGTAATACGTCAGTATTTTTAAGTCTAACACCAACTGAATGAATTATGAATAGAAACATTTTTAAATATAAATTTTAGAAGTACGTTTTAGTTCCTCCTTGAATAAAATCACTATTAATATATGTACATGCCTTACACAGTACCAATACCATTTTTTTAAAAACAAAAACGGTTCTTTTTAATAGTATTAATAGTTATTATTTCTAAAATTCTAAAATACAGTACACATATCTGTATTCAATTTATTTCTATTAAAATAATTATTATCCTGTATACAATTATGGTGGAAATGTTTACACTGATTGGCAATGAAGTATAAACATATGTATGACGAGCACTGTGCCTAGAGTGAAGTAATAATGCAGACTAGAGCATACTATTATGTAGGCCTATCTATCTATTTCCTCAATAAATTAAAAAAGAGGTCAACAAAAATAGGTCAATTAGGAAAAGGAAAAGAGATATGTTCATTCAATATATTTTTGAAAATTGTTTCTTTGTACACCGACGATATCTACTCTTGTTCCTGAAAGGGATGGGGTGGAGATTCATATTACAAATTAAAGAAATTAAGCTAAAATTGTTCGGCACGTCAAGTCAGGCCCTTATTATTAATCGTTATTCTGTGAATTGTTCAAAAATCGCTTTACCTGGGCAAACACCCAAATGAAAAAAGTTGGTCATGTGCTACCTGTTGATCTTACCATCGTTTTTCTATCTAATATAAAAAATTCTATAGAAAAAAATTACGATACCCTTTTAATTAAGTTTTAAAACTATTCGAATAAAATGCTTTTAGAGCAGCTTATTTTTGTTGGGCTATAAGGTGGGTCTCTCGATGTCAAAAATTATTTTCCCATGGGCAATCCTGCCACATGAGCCCCTAGATTAACCCAGGAAAAGGTGAGTCAGACTAACTAGTAAACCACAAGCAATCTGACCAGTTTGAGTTATTTGTTTAAAGATTGTCTCATGAAAATACAAAAAAAAAATGTTTTGGTAGTTACTTGGTCATCTTTAGGTAGCATAACAATTATCAACTTGAATATAGAAATAGGTGTATTTAAAAAATGTTTAACCATAATTTTACAGCAAAAAAAAAAAAAAAATCAGGGTACACATTTTTAAAATCAAATAATTTCTATGCTTTATAAGTTAATAATGTGTATCTGCAAAATAAGCTAGTTAATTTCAAAATTATTTTGTTATGATTTTTTTTGTCATTTTCATGGGACAATACATCTTTAGGTGCATTACAGGTTGCTAAAAAGTGAGCAGTGAGTAGAGTATTACGTAAGAATGGGTAATTATTGAATGCTGTGTTGCTTAAAAATAGGTTGCAGAAAATTCTATTTGTGTAGTAACATGGTCTGTCCTTGGTCACCATCATTTTCTTAACGAAAAGCTTGCGAAAGGGCATGTCATTTTTGTCTTACGATATAGCCTTTTGTTAATTAAAACAATGTTAATATTGTATCTACAATTTTGAATTCCTACTTTAGCTGAATAAATGTCTGTTATATTGTATAATGACTGTATCTGTACCGCTACTTCATTTTGATTTTGATTTGATTTATTTTGCATTCAATATCACACACATAACAATAACATTTTGAGAATGAACATAAAAAAGGAGATGAATAATAATTGAATGCCTGGATAACCCATTAAGTCTAGTGATTGTACACCAGACTTATTTCCAATGGGGTCCAGAAGCCAGGGTAATTATTGAACAAGAGCGAATATTTACAGATAGTGATCTGGCAAGGTTTAGAATATATAGTAAAATATATAAAATAGGAACATAGGCCAATTTAAAATTAAAAATTAAAAAATTGAAAAAGTTAAAATTGAATATTAAAATTACTAATTGAGTAAATATAAAAACTGCATGTAGTAAAGGATAAAAACATGAAACATTTACTCTATATTGCTAGACAACATAATGAACAAGTAATAACATTACTGATTAAATAGGGGCTGTAGCCCAATACCAATCGCAATTATTGCATAATTGCATTGCTAGACAACGTTATGATAACCAAAGTCCAAATATTAATAATTACTTACAGCACGCAACAGGAGTTTGCATTGGTTTAACGTACATTTCCTTAAATATCTGTAGCGTATTCCACGATATAAATTACGCCTCTGATAATAAATAAATTCAATGGCTTCACTGACGTTCTCCAGACCTTTGTCTATTTTATCTTCCTTGATATACCACTCTACCAACTCATTCATTTTATTGGCAAAGTCTTCACACTGAAAACAATGATTAAATACCGTACTGCAGTTTAGAATATTTTAAAAATTCATGTGACATAATTATGCGTAGATGAATAAACAGTTTAATGAATTAGGCACAAAAGACTTCACTACAGGAAGAATGGTCATTCGTTCAGACGTGGATATTCTTTATCGCATATCATGGGATGAGAGTAGATTTTGGGATTCAGTCCTTAAGCGATTCGACCATAATTAAATATAGGCCTATCTAGAATATTGGTCTTGGGGTAAGTGTAAGTGGCTGGCACACACCAAGTAGGCCTATATTCAGAATAGAAGTTGTATCATGGAGGAATAAGTTTAACCTCTTTCCTCCACATGGTAGCATCGGCCATAATTAGGGCAATTCGCTAACCACATACTGTAGGGGTTTACACACATACGGGAACGTATATATATATATATATATATATGTATATATATATATATATATATATATATATATATGTATATATATATATAAATGTGGTATAGGCCTATATATATTATAAATTCTAGCTAGTCATACGTTACCGTACCCATCCTACAGTCGGCCAAAACATGTGTGAACATTGCCTGAGGAGAGAATTTTAAGAAGTAACTAATTTCATTCATTCATTTTCCATTACATGTTTACTTCAAATGGTATTTTGAATACCGTAGCTTTGCATTAGATAAATCTTACCCTAATTTACATAAGGTTTCGAAGATATATAGATCCAGCTCTTTAGCAACAAGATTATCACTTATATCAATGTATGCTGCCATTGTCATGATGATTAGTCCTGGCGGCTTCTACAACATTAATGTAACTGGCTATACAGCGTTAACCTCCTCGGTTCCCTTCAGTCACTCCTTCAGTGTGGTTAATCAGGAAGTATGATTATGAATACATTACCGTACCTTTTATATGTCATTCGTTCTACGCAATGATGTTATAACAATGTACCTAAATATAGATTCTGGGAATTTCCAAAATCGCTGTTTACACAGAATATAATTATTATGTATTCTCCATACAAAATAAATAATAATTGGAAAAGGATACCGTATACGATATAATAATGAACGGATATACGTTATGTGTTCTGTTTTTTTATCATATGAATGAATAAAATATGACAGTGTCACACCAAACTGAAGACAAAAGGAAATGAGAATTTAAAATTTAAATCGCTGGGGAGACTCGAGGGGATTGAAGGCGTGTGTACGCTTTTAAAAAAGTACAAAAATGACGATTTGGAAATGTTAGCCTACGTTTTTGTGCCTAGCCATTCTCCTTGAAAGCAGTGGCGGCGCAAGCCATACACAAGGATTTGTTTGACATAGCCTGCAGAGAGTATAACTCATTAATTACAAAATACAAACAAGAACATCATAGGAATCTCATTAAATCATGTGACCAGAGCAATTTGTTTAAACTCATCAATGAGCTAACTACTGCGTCAACCAGTCCCACTTTACCGTCCCACATGAACTTAAGTGATCTTGCTGAGCGATTCGCAGTTTTCTTTGACAACAAGATTTTGAATGTTCAAAAGGAGTTTCTTGGCACCCACACTTCTTTGCCCCGCCCTCCTAGCAAGCGCCCCCCTTCGAGCCTCAGTGGCTAGGATTGTGTTACATCTGATGATGTTCTAAGTGTGATTAAGGCATCACGAAATAAATCCTGTGAACTTGATCCCATTCCTACACTTCTCTTGAAAGGTCATCACAACCAGCTTTCACCAATCATAACTCGTATTGTGAATGAATCTCTCAGGACTGGTGTGTTAACAACCAACCTCAAGCATGCTCATGTAACACCCATCCTTAAGAAACATAACCTGAATCCAGAGGATTTGTCTAATTTTAGGCCAATCTCCAACATTCCGTTCCTCTCTAAGGTACTCGAGAGGATTGTGTGTTCACAACTTAAATATTTCCTCCAGGAAAACGATCTCCTTGGAAAAATGCAGTCCGCCTATCGTCAACTTTGTAGCACAGAAACAGCTCTTCTCCGTGTTCAAAACGATCTGCTGACTGCAATTGACCAGCGCCACGACGCCTTGCTCGTCCTGTTGGACTTTTCTTCGGCTTTTGACACTGCCGATCACACCATCCTTCTGCACCGACTTTCTAGTCACTTCGGTATTACAGACAAGGCACTCCAATGGATCGCCACTTACCTCAATTGTCGAACTCAATCTGTCGTCATTGGAGATGTCTCCTCGGCCAAACATAGTCTTTCTTATGGGGTCCCGCAGGGGTCTGTTATTGGACCCCCACTATTCACACTGTATATCACCCCACTTGAAGATGTTGTTTCATCTCATAATCTACGCTGCATGATGTATGCTGATGACATACAGATATACATCGATTTCCATCCAAGTGAACTCTCCAGTTCACTTACTAAGCTCAACCAGTGTGTAGGCTGTGTCCAACAATGGTCTCTAGCTAACAAGCTTCATCTCAATGTCAAGAAAACAGAATTAATTCGTTTTTCTTCATGCTTTCGAGCAGTTGAAGCCATGTATTTACAACCATATCAGTTTCTGGTCGAACCAAAGACAGAGGTCCGTAACCTTGGTGTAATACTCGACTCTACTCTACAAATGAAGTCCAATATCAATGCTGTATGTCGCTCTTCCTGTGCTGCTCTCCGTAAAATTGGAAAAATCAAAAAGTTTCTCGACAAACCCACTACTCTACGTCTGATATATGCCTTTCTCAATTCACGGCTCGACTATTGCAACAGTCTCATCTCTGGACTACCCAAGACACAAATAACTAAGCTACAGCGTATTCAAAATTCTGCTGCTCGTCTGGTTACCTTAACTAAGCGACATATCCATATTACACCCATATTATATGATCTTCACTGGCTTCCGGTCCACAAAAGAATTATTTATAAAACATTGCTGTTAACATACAAGGCAATGAACAATCTCGCTCCAGAATACATCACCGAACTCCTGACTCCTTACACGCAAACACGCTCTCTCCGATCCGCTTCTAAGAATCTTCTAAAAGTTCCTAAAAGCACTACCATCACATACGGTTCACGGGCATTCACCTCTGCAGCGCCTACCTTATGGAATGCACTTCCAGATGAAATCAGGAACGCCGACTCACTTCAGCTTTTTAAAACACAACTCAAAACTCACCTCTTCACTGAAAGTTTTGCTGAATTCCTTTAACACACATTTTACCACTTTTTTGTTTTTTTCCCCCTTCTTTTAACTGCTTAGCTAGACACCGCCATCACTTGAGCACCTGTGAGTCATGCATCGGCGGGCTTTACTCCTTAAATTGCCGATAAACGGTGCGGTGTTGGTTTGGTTCGTTTAGGCGTTTTCTTTTTTCTTTGTTAGTCTAGGTTCATGGTTTTTTTATTCTCTTGTCCGTTTCCTTCCGTTGTTGTGAAGCGCCTCGAGGTTGGTCTAACGGGAGGCGCTATACAAATCGCAAATTATTATTATTATTATTATTATTATTATTATTATTATTATTATTATATTGCGTCAATTCAAAAAAATGATGGTGGATAATGAATAGCAAACCTGGTGGTTGTGTGTTCAATTCCCACACGAACCAATTTTTTTATTTTTACCATCAAAGGCGCATTGTACCCTGAAGTTTGGTGAACAAATAAGTCTTCCGGTTTATTTTAAAAGAATCAAGGGAGGACGAGTCTTTAACGTAGTTCGTTCCAAAGAGAAGATGCTGCAAAAGAAAAAGTACGATCACCGTAAGTCTTAGTACGGAAACAAGGAACAGATAGCAATGATTTGTAAGAAGAACGAAGGACCAAGACCTTGTTGCAAATCCCAGCCCATATGAGCCTAGCCTATAATGCCTAGCATTGGGTTCGTGATCGCGGTACCCTGACTATTAAAAATTAGCAGACGCACTGGGAAGCGTTGTTCACGGCATTGGACTGCAGTGAAAATGATTCCCCAATCATTAATGGAACAAGCCCACGTCACGCTTGGCTGAATAGTTTTGATTTACATTTCGCATGTCTTGTGTTGTTGTAAAATGTATTTCAAACCAGCTATGCTTGGCTTGGTTTTGATTTACATTTTGGAACAGAAGTCAGACCTACGTTTTGAATTTGAATTACATTTTAAAGATAAATTAGAACTTCATTTTGAATTTAATTTTGCAATTAAATTTTGATTTTAACATGGACTTTTGCTACGTATGGCACCCCATAATTGTCATGCAAACCAAACAAAGCAATCATTTATAGGGGTCCTGGTATTTTACAAGCTGCTGGTAGCAGAATAATTATTGTTTGTAATGATTGTTTCTATTTAAGGATAGTATTACCATTAAGTTTTTAATACAGTTTGTTGTATTTGGACAGAATATAAAAAAAGGTCAAAATAATAGTCATATATATTTATATAGCCCTTTCTATAGCTCTTTGCAGATATAATTTCTATTGTGTCTGTAAAAGACTGATGTTCAGGGCTCTGTTTAAAGACTGATGGTGAGGTCTGCGAATTTGCTTAACGTAGAATATGGTAAAAAAAATCTCATGAATTATTTACAATCATTCTAATTGAACGTATTTTGGGCTTGATTTGTTTTGATAAAGAATAGACCAGTGGTTCTAAATATAAACATGGGATTAATTGAAGCATTTTGTTATTGTGCGTGTTTGTTCAGTTAGAGAATAACTGTTCTTTTTTCCTTTCTTTTTATTTGTTTTTATATATTTCATATTTAAATTTACTGTATTTATTTGTATGGGGTGGGTCATTCTTAAAACTTTAATTGGCTTATCTGACTCACCACCACCCCCCCCCCCCCACACACTAAACGGTACTTAATGAAAACAAATTTGTATAGATGTCTTGAACTTGTGTGGAAATAAAAAATTTGATTGATTGATTGATTGATTGATTGATTGATTGATTGATTGATTGATTGATTGATTGATTGATTGATTGATTGATTGATTGATTGATTGACAGAGCAGCAGATCATTCATGCTCACACAGACTTAAAAATATCGCAGTTCAATAGAACAACTATTAAATAGTATTTTGTATTTTCAGACTGACAGTAAATGTAAATGTATTCAACTTCAGAATCTACTATCAATCACTTGTTTTATTCTTGCATAAACTCAAATACAAAGCCCATACAAAGGCTGAATCTCGAGGCCAAAATGAATGTGTACGTCGTGTGTCGTTCTGTTCATAGTCAATTGACTAGGCCTATGTTCTATTTTTTTTTATAGAACACTGCCTTATTCGCGAGCGATGCACAGAACAGCTGATCAGCTGATAAAAATACAGTATTAGGCATTATCAAGACACACCCTGTACCCACATTTTTATATACCAAATGCCAAAGCAAATACAGTAGATAATCTTATCTTTGAGTCCTAACATTACTGAAAAAATATTGAACTGAAATTAAAGAATTTACCTTGTATTATCATCAAAGCATTAAAGCTTGAGTGTTTGTTATACCTACACCCATGAAGCCGATACCTCATAATAATACTTTTTTAACAAAGAACTTCATGAAAATTTACTACTCTAAAGTGTCAGGATTACATATGAGTGCAATACCGTCTATTTTTACTGCAGGGGTGTTTTTATAATACAAACCGTCCATTAATTTAGTTCCATTTATCACTCCATTTAGAAGAGACACGTTTTCTAAGGCTATATTTTTTTCGACAGCTTTTTCAAATAAAAGTTCATGTTTGAAATCCGAAAATGTCGACTTCTTATAAGAAGCCGACATTGGATTGTACATTGGACATTCGTAAGAATATAGGCCTATTCTTACAGCGGCATAAATATAAAGAATACTTTGCGTGTAAAACAACCTGGTAGATTTATATGAACACTATCCTGTGCACCAAAACAGATTCCTTTAAATGACAAATTTCCTTCATCATCTAAGAAATGCTGGTTTATTTCTTTCCAGAAATTGATAGTAATTTTACAGTCCCAGAAGAAGAAGTAATAATTTGCCTATCTAAATAACGCATTTTGATTGCCAATCCCAAATATTGTAGTCTAAAATCATTTAGGACCAAATTAAGCTATAAAAACTCTCCTCATGAACCTTAACACGGATTATTTTATTTTGGGCCGTCGACCGATGCTTCGTCGTAGCCTTGGTTTGGACCCCTCCATCGGACACATCGGACCCCATCGGCAGATTTCTGGCTCCACCGCTGCGCAGAATGATGTAAGCTTAGCTAGATTTCCTCACAATCGCTACACGCTTTCGCCGACAGCTTCGGTGATGCTGATTAGTCGGTCAAATCGGGGAGAGCGGTTTTAAGGAAACCAAGGTCCGAATGCTAAAAAAGGCACCGAATGTAACCAAAGCCGCTGACGCATCCATGGCAAATGCGCCGAATACATAGTCGCCGCCTCACAAAAAAAAAACCTACTGAAACCGAAGGTCAAGAAGATATAACAGTACTGTATAAAGAAAATGACAAAATGGTTAGAGCATAAGTTGCTGCTTGAATAACTTGACACAATCGTACCCATTGTATGTGTCTTTAACTTGAGGCTTCCACAGAAACAGTTTGACATTTGACTGTTGGTCATCGATTATTGAGACGACACAGCTACAGGAGTTGGAGTAAATTACGTAAGTTCCAAACTAATATTGTAAACATTCGTCTTTAAATTATTCCAAAATTTCCTCTAGTGTAGCTTTTACAATGTTTACAGTTTTTCTCTCTCGTTTTAAATGTTGTTTCTTTTACTTAGTAGTAGGTGAATGACCATACCGCGGCTGTGAACAACGATTGAAATGCATAACAGCAGGGCGCGACCGAAATGATCTGTATTCGTTACTTTCATATTATTACGATGCACCCTCTAATTCGAGACCTTCTATTTTCGGGACCCCTCTAATTTGAGACCACTTTTTCAAAGTACCAAATACAGTAGGCCTAATAAACAATCTTCATTTTAACCCTCTAATTGGAGACCAAACTCTGACATCACCCCAAATTTTCAAGTCCCAAAGGTGGTCTCGAATTGGAGGGCGAACTTATTTATTTATTCTTTTTCTTTTTTACTTTTGATCTTTGGTTGAATGTTTTATCCTTTCTAGTCGGAACTTCCATAGGCCTAAATGGAAGTGTGGGAGGGAGAAAGCTTCTGTGTAATGTAGCTTCCGAGTAGTATGTTCAAGGAAGCAGCGTGTTACGACGGTTTAAAATGCCCGAGGTTTGAGTCCGAGTTAAAGTTCATTTGCTTCTGGGTTAGGATCATAGAAACAATGATCAATGATAAGCGTATGGAGTATGCAGTATGGCTATCTATGAGGCTCACCTTTAGGGGAGGATCCAGAAAAAATTTGGTAGGGGCATGCGAGTACGAAAAAAAAAACTTTCCAGAACTGGAATTCGAAACAATGACCTTCTGCTGTCTCAGTGACATTATAGGCCATCTTTAAATTATCGTGGCCTTTTATATTCTCTCTTTTGTTCACGTTGTTCACACTACTCTACCATCTTACTCTAGCTCATCATCCAGTCTAGCCCATTGTTTCAAACCGCTCTTGCCTGGCTCTTTTGTTCGCGTCCACTCGGTATAATCATCAATCAATTAAACTAATTCCACCATGGTATAATCATAGAGAAAATAGAACATTCTATTTTCTCTATGGTATAACGTTATCTGAATTTCTTACCCTCTATTACTTGCCTGTGGCACTCTGTTTCCAAACAGAAAATTACTCAAATTGTTTTTTATAAAGTATTTTGCCCTTTGATTTACACACATATACGTGACACACACACGCACACACACACACACACACACACACACAC